AGCACCGCTTGAGACCGCTTGCCCAGCTGATGTCGGCAAAATTGGCCTCGCCGATCCCGGGTCAGATGTCAGCACACCGACGGGGCCTCAGAACGCAGTGATTGGGTGTGGTGTACGGCACACCGCTCTTCCTCGTACACTAAGTGGACAAAATGATTGACCGATGCGTTTTCGGTCATTTCTTATCCAAATCACTCCAGATAAAGTGTGAGAATGAAGTTCTGTTGATTTCATGACGATGTGCACAGTTTAAACCTTACCTTTCCTGCTTTATTCTCCTTAGATAAAAAGTTTACCTGTTTTCTGAAAAATTGAGTCTGTGGAATCATCTTGTATGGTAAAACGGTGTACACACCCTGAAAATACTTGAAAAATGGACCTCACACATATTTTATTTGACCTGCATCTATGGGGTCTTGAGCTCACAGAAAAGCATGCAAGTTGTCCATTTTTGGCATTTTGTGGTCATTTTGCATAAAAAATGCTCAAAATGGCCAACTTGCATTGGGTATTGCAAGCCCAAAACCCCTTGAATCTGGGTCAACCAAAAGATGTATGAGGTCCATTTTTCAAGTACTTTCAGGGTGTGTAATCTGTTCTATCATACAAGGTGATTCCACAGACTCAATTTTTCAGAAAATGGGTAAACTTTTTATCTACGGAGAATACAGCAGGAAAGGTATGGTTTAAACTGTGCACATCATCATGAAATCGACCGAACTTCATTCTCACAATTTATTTGGAGTGATTTGGGTGAGAAATGACCGAAAACGCATTGGTCAATCATTTTGTCCACTTAGTGTAAGTGTTAACACTATTGGCAATTGGATGGAGCAATCCGGGGTTCGACTCCCCGTGCCCGAATGTACGGGACCCCTGATACTGTTTTTTTGCTTGCCTTTGCGCCATCTCCTCACTCTGAGTCTAGCGACCGTCTGAAGTTCGTTTTCTGATGCATCAAATCGGAATTATTGTATATTCACGGATTGACATTGGCAGGCCGCAGTAGCAGCACCAAGCAAAAAAAAAAAAAAAAGGAGTTTCCCAGCAGATTCGGGCACCGGATTTCTGTACAGGACATCAGAAATTTGTTACTGAAAGGAACGGTGCACCGACGCAGCACCGTGCACCAGACCCGATGTATTCACTGTTCTTCGAACCTAGGTAGATGTCAGTGCGTGGTTAAATTTTGCACCACCTCTTCAATTTTCAACGGCCGTTTGATACTTCACCTTTTACGCACACTTATTTTTATTTTATTTCATCTGACCCACGGATTGAATCCCGCTCTGGCTGGATGGGTCAGCCACCTGGTTGGCATCTTCAGAACCTCGAAGATTAACAGGTATTCACCTTCAGGATAAGCGTGCGCATGAAACTGCTCTATAATTCAGGGGCCCAGGTGAAGTTCCAGTACATCTATTGTAGATTTAGCCGTGGCTTCTAAGCAAGGAAAGGTTATATCCACATACGTACCTTACGATTATTCCGCGGTGGGTGCAATTTGTACAAGTATGATTGACGAAAGGTCGTACAGATTTCACATTTGGCCACTTATATTTATAATACATGACGAAAACTTCAACTCTTTACCACTTGGCATAGGGCATGAATTTTCCACTGCGAGCATTTCATCAGCGCGAGGCGCTAGTCAGAGGACAGAGGACTGACTCGAAAGTAAGAAACACACGATCGCCCTTCGGATCCGCCTTTCGGGCGATGTCGATCTGCGAGAAAATAGATAAATAACAAGGGCAAGGGGAGGGGAAATAATTTCCTACTTTACAGTCAATCATGCTCATGATTCCGTCGCCGAACTGTAAATAGTTCAGATTGAATGTCTGTGCTGTAACTCCAAACGAACTTTCTCGTGAATAATGGCCTTAATTGAATGACCATAAACTAGAACACCCTGCAAAGAGTCAGTGATCAATGTTCAGTGCCTATTACTGCTATAAGCATACCTCGTATAGCCGGTAGATAACGGGGTCGGTGGGAGGAATAGGCCCAAGCCCGCGGTTGGGCCACCAGTGATCGCCGATCCCAGCCTGCAATTCGGTCTGGGGCACACCAAGAAGGTCGGACACTTTGTTCAGCTCCTCCGCGGTAAACTTGGCCTACAACGGTGGTCATGAATCAAGGAGAATTTTGGAAAGTGATAGGAGCTCACTTGGCCATAGAACGCAGCAGCGACCCAGACCTCGCCCTTCCCGATAGCCTGGGCAATCTGATCAAAGGTCAAACCTGCAAAGGTATCGATAAGTCGCGCCGCCAGTGGCTGGAACGAAGACCGCACCTTTGCGCGCTTTGGCTTCGAAGAGCTTTGAATTGGCGGAAGGGAGGTTCGCATAGGGCACATTGTTGGTAGGGACAGTCTAGATAAATGAGGGCAGGAAAGCATCGAAGACATGCAACTCACTGCCGCAGCTTGAGACATGGGAGAGAGTGGGAGCTAAGCAGACAGGAGCTTCCGATTTAAGGCACGTGTCGGTTCCGTCGGAGCCCGAAGATGTGCCCGCTTACAATACCCTGTTCCCATTCAAGTTGTCTGAACTAGAGAAAAGGCTCTCACGTGGGAGTAGGCAAGCTTGATTACATTAATATTGCAGTTGGAACAGAACGGTCGAAATACAGGTCGCTCTTTACTACACAGGTGGCGTTTTCCATACGTCCTTGGTAGCATGCGTTAATTCGTACAACTGTCCTATTTGTTCAGCTGACATCTGTGGGACGCTGCTCCATAAGCAGCTGTGTCCTAACGCCGACGGAGCCCGACGCACACACGCCCACCTATTCATACACCGTCGCATCTAGGCGTTTCCCAGAGAAAGTCTTGGCTTCGGGGCCCTTTGGGAGGTCGGCAAGGTAGACTTTCCATTGTGACAAAAAGCCAATAATATGGACTGGATTCGTTACCGCTCTGTTTCGCCGGAACTCTAAAGTATATTAATAATTAATGACCATCGAAAAAAGCTATTGCTGTTGCAGCACCTGCTTGGATGTGCCCATCTCCCACGACGCGCATTTCGTTCGGTAGAGCACGATGGGCACGCAATATCCGGCGATATAAACTGTCAAAGAGGGCAGAATTGAGTGACTGTAGATGGGTGGGGGGATTCGAGTACGGTTTACTAGGAGGTAGGAGGGCAGCGCTAGCTTCTTGTAAATTCAAGGGTTTGGTAGATACGGACTCGGCCAGTCGGAACGCTGAGACGTGCATGATGTACAGGAAAGACGTGTTCTTTGGTTCTCTTTAGCCAATCCCTGAAGATAAACAACGACAATGAATAGCTGCCGTCGACTCGACACTAGCGACAATTATTTCTCCGGTCTTATGAATGCTTGCTTTGCGTCCCCCTCTCCCTTCTGGAAACGTCAAATCCTTGTGAGGGCTCGTCGACAATCATGCCTGTGCAGTGGATCGATTTGGAAGGATCGTTGTTCGCAAATTGCTGGGGGTCTTCGAGGAGAGTTCGACAGGATTCGACTTTGCTACAAAATGTCCGTTAAGTACTTGGCCTTGAGAGCTTTTACCAAGAGAGCCATCTCCTCACTCTTATTCTGACTTACGTTCCCTCTGAGCGTGAGACTTCACATTATCATTATAATTCTTTCATACTGCGTCAGATTGCCGCCCTCGATTGAATTCGTGCACCACCTACCCCAAGTTCAAACGAAATTTAAAGAATATATCAGGTATATTGCGCAGTTCAAGGTCGAATTCTTGGAAGCAGAACTCCCCGGACTTTCTGTAATATGCATCTCGATGTATACTATCAGCGGCATTGGAGATTATGGACTAAAGTTGTCAAGAAGGCCGAGGCTCAGGACTCTTCGAGTTCATGGTCCTTATTCTGCGATAGCTTTTAGTACTCCCGCACTTCGCTAGGTTTAAAGAAGTCTAAATAGTTCGGGTATGGTGTACGGTGCACCGCTCTTCTCTCTTTGCGAGCTCATTAGATTGATTGAGAAAGCCGGGGTTCGACTCTCCGTACCCGAGTTAGTAGGATGATGTGATGTCCCCTCCTTTTTCTTTTTTGCTTGGCTCCGCGTCACCTCCTCATTTCTAGAATCCTTCGGAAATTTGTTCTCTCCACCTGTGGTATAGGCACGTCACGTTATAATTATTCTTATTTTATCCGGCCCATTGTCATGGATTGAAGCTCTCGTTGCCCGCGAGACGAGCAGAAAATTACTCACGTACCCACCTAGGTTCAAAGGAATAGGAATATCCCGGGTCTAGTGTACGGCGCACCGCTCCTCACACTCGGTGAGAAGTCCGTAAAAATAGAATGAGCCAGATTGAGGCCAAACGGAGCAAAATGAAGAAAATAAAAATGATTCGTACCCAGCAAGGTTCAAACGAATAGGAATATCCCGGGTATAGTGTACGAAGCTGGGCAATATCGCAGCAGCAAGCCGGGGGTCGACTCCCTGTGCCCGAATGCGCAAGTGATGACAGCTTTTTTTTCTTGCTCCTGGCCCTTTGCATTCCGAGACTTCGTTCTCTCCATGCACGTGGATGTTACGTTGGACATATTTTCATTCCATTTTATCCGGCGCCAGATTGACGCCCTCGATACCAGTAAGTATTGAATTCACACACCTACTTACCCAGGTGTGAATGTATTGGGTGCTAAACAGGACTAAATTTATGCACGCACTTACCCAGGTTCCAGGGATACTGAGTACATCGGGTATGGTGCACGGTGCCCAGCTCCTGTCAGTCGCGTGATGAGTGGATCGACCCATGTCGTGGAGCAAGTCGGGGTTCGACACCCCCTGCCCGAATGTAGCAACTCTTGCCACCTTTTTTTTTCTTGCTCCCAGCCTTTTGCATTCCAGAACATCGTTCCCTCCCAGATTGACGTCCTCGACACCAGTAACGATCAAATTTATGCACGTACCTAACCAGGTTCAAAACAATAGGCATACGTGGGGTACTAAACACGACTAAATTTACACACGCACATACCCAGGTTCCAAGGACACTGAGTACATCGGGTATGGTGCACGGCGCACCGCTCCTTCTTGTGACGCCATTTGAACATCGCACCATGCACTGGAGCAAGCCAGGGTTCGAATCCCTGTGCCCGATTCGCCAAAAGTCATTCCACCTTTTTTTTCTTGCTTCCGGCACTTGCATTCCAGAACTTCGTTCCCTTCACGCATGGGACGTCACTTCGTAATTATTTGTATTTCATTTTATCCAGCGCCAGATTGACGCCCACGATACCAGAGTAAGCATCGAATTACGCACGTACCTACCGAGGTTCAAATGAACAAGAATGCATCGGGTATGGTGTACGGCGCACCGCTCCTCTCTCTGCAGCCATCATTTCCTCCTGCTTGGAGCAAGCCGGGGTTCGACTCCCCGTGCCCGAATTCGCCTTCAAATCGAGTATTTCATTTTTGGCAGGGGTAAGTCACTACCACAGCTTTCTTTTCTTTTCTTTCCTTCCTTTTTGCCATCCACACGATCCTGTGACCCCTGGGTACACCTCTCACAGTAGTATGAACCTAGTTATTATCCGACGCCATACCACCCAATAGCATGATATTAAATGCACTCACGCACTTGGCCAGGTCGACACAGCGGGGGGCTACAGAGTACACTCGGGGAATGGGTGTACGTGGGGCTTCTTGGGGCGCAAGCGCAGGGGATCCCCATGCCCAGATGATCTCGATCTGTAATAGGTAGGTAGGTAGGCGTAGCATTACACGAATTGCCCCCCGCTTGTAGATCTGGATACTTAGAAGCGTGACACGACGACTGCCTCTCGTTGGATTATATTTCCTTCAAGGAACTTTGACGTTCGTCTCGCTTGTTTTTTTCTCCACTTGTTCCTCCCGCCCGCATTGTCATAATTCACGCTGATGCCGCCCGCGTACGGGAATACAATGCAACAGGAATAGAAGCGAGATCAGGATCAGGGGATGCATGGGTAGGTGGGTGAGGCATCCCGGCGGGGGGACAGGAAATATATGAAATTCCTGGATAAATCTAATCTTTACAATATCTCTCAATGCCAAAACTGGCAAATGAATCTGAGGGAGCTAGAGGGACTGTAAGTAATTTATCCGTGTTTCTGGCTCTATCACATGTTTTTTCAGCTGAATATATTGTCCATCCGAAAATATTAGGCTGCCGGGACATGTTCTCGGCTGTTGGCGCAAAAATAGCCTATTTTCATTCTAGACTCGATGCCGAATCCCGACGACGCCAGACGAGAATAGAACGAGAATATTAATAAAAGCGAGACAGGAATAGAAGCGAGATCAGGATAAGGGATGGACATCTGGATGGGTGGGTGTTGGCATGCTTCCCGGGGGTCGTAGCGCTGGACGGCCCTCCGAGGAATGGGGTCGGTGCCCCAGCAAGCAAGTTAAGTACTAGTGCGCTCGCCATTTCCGATCAGAACTCGCCCGTATCTTGGCACCTCGGCGGGCCATCGATCGATCAACCCGCCAATCAGTCAATCAAGCTACGATGTTCCACTGTCTCTCTTGTTGTCCTGTTCCCTCCATTGTATTTCGCTTCGTCTGCTTTTTGTTCTCTTTTCTTCATAACACCTTGTAGTCCCAGCGACTCTTTTCATTCCACCACTCACCACAATGCGCCCCATCTCTTCTACCCTCGTACTCCTCTCGCTCCTCGCTTTGGCTTCCGCCCAGCTGCAGATCCAATGCACGCCCACCGACGACGACGGCACACCCAACACGGGCGCGCAGCCGGCGACGGGCGAGGACAGCGACAAGATCATGTGCATCTATCAGGGCGCCGGCGCATGCACCTACTTCCCCGCCGACGGCTCCTTCTCCAGCGGCAGCTCACAGTGCCCCGCCGGCATTGCGCAGGACCCGAGCGTTACGTGCGTGCTTCTACATCCACACGACGTACGAAACTAACCCCCACCCCAGCGAGCTCCCCATCCCCGGCAAGTCCTCCGCCGCGCCCACGCCCCCACCCGTCTCCGCCCCGCCCCCGCCCCCACCCGTATCCTCCCAGCCCCCGCCTTCGCCTGTATCCTCCCCGCCCGTCGTCCCGCCCTCCGTCTCCACGCCCCCGCCCAACCAGACCACCAGCAAGCCCAGCAACACCGCCAGTGGCTCGCCCCCGCCGCCCTCGGGCGCCGCGCCGCGTCTGGGCGCCGGCGCCGGCATGGGCGGCGTGCTGGCGCTGGTGGGGTTGTTCTTCGGGATGATGTAGGCGTGGGGGTTTTGTAGGTATGCGTTGACGGGCATAGGTTGACTGTAGGATGGGCGGTTAGCGCGCGCCAACTTCGGCGCGACGCATGCATGCCATCTCGCCCGAGACCGGCGTTCTCATCGCCCTGGCCTCGCTGCTACGAGCCTGCGCGCGCGCGATGAACCAAATATGGCGTACACCGGGGCCGCACTCCTCGCTGTTACGATACTCGATTCCCGCTGGTTGGAATCACGCGCGCTAGGTCTTCGCTGAAATATTTTATACTCACTCGTTTGTGCTTGTGACGGAGAATATTATTCGGTTGTCGCTCTCGTGATGGGTTCGACAGTGAACGACTCCCTGCGCGCGCGAAGGCGAAAGATTCGCCGCACCCGCAGGCGAACGCAGTAAGTACCTTTGTTTTTTTCCTCCTGTTTCTTTCGGCTCTACTCCACCGTCTTTCGTTTTTGGTTCCACTCCGCGCGGTTTCCGTCCCTATCAGCGCTGGTACTTTATCATTACATTGCGTACCAACCCAAGGTCGAACGAGTCCAGATGTTTCAGGTATGGTGTAATTCTCCTCTCGATTGCAATGGCAATGGCATACCACTCCGCGGTTCGACACCCCCCGTTCCCAAATTAAAACTGGCGCAACATTTTGTTCCCTCTTGTTTTCTTTCACTCGCACCTGCCCCGTTCTCAATCACATATCTTCATTGAAGCCACTTATTCGATCTTCCGACACACGAGCGCAGGTTTTTCATTTCCTTTCCGGTGGCAGGCAGGATCTGTCTGTCATGTTCGAGGTCGAGGATCTCGACTCACGGACGTACATACCCAGGCTCGCAATGAGAGAAATTAGGCGGGTATGGTGCACGGCGCACCGCTCCTCGCAGTTCGACATGAGCAATGTCGCAGGAGCAGACCGGGGTTCGACTCCCCGTACCCGAATAGACGAGAGTCTTGGCTTTTTATTTATTTTCATCTGGCCCAATGAGTCCGTCTGAATACTGACCATTGCTTACCTCGAGACTCAAATTTTTGGCTTACTTCATAGAACCCTCCCCACTTTTTTGAAAAGTGAGAAAGTAAATATAGCCCCTTCCCCCGCCTGGACTCGAGTTCAATTCCGACGCAGAGCAATTTTATACTCTCAATTCCCTAAGCTCGCAACAAGAGGGATAATGCGGGTATGGTGCACCTGCTCCTTGCCGAACGTTCGTGTAAGTAGTGAGCAGACCGGGGTTCGACTCCTCGTACCCGAATGCAGCAGGATGGTTCGTTTCTCTCGTTTTTCTTGACGTAGTTGGTTCGTTTTATAATTATTCCAAGTTAGGAAATAAGTTACTTTATTCGCCCTCTTTCCAAACGGGCTGCGCACGAACGATAACGTTTTTGTGCTCTTATGTCTGATTGACAAAGCGCAGTCTCTGAATAAACCGCTATATGTCGCCTACCTAGACCTCAAAAACGCATTTCCTGGTACCGATAGGTCAACACTGTGGGTTAAACTCGCCACAATGGGCATTTCTGGACCAATGATCGAATGGTTGAAAATACTGTATGACCGAATCCGTTACAGGGTACGACTAGATAGAAAATTTGCGCCAGCCTTCAGGTCGTTGCTCGGAATCTTAACCGGAGATCCTGGCTCACCTCATCTCTGGAACTTATTCATGTCCGACTTCATCTTGGAATGCCATCCTGACGACATAGAACTCAACGGGATACCCATCACAAACTTAGAACATGCCGACGACATTCTGACAGCATCTGCCCCCCCCGGATTCTAGAGTCATCTCAATGGTGCTCAAGGTTGGGCAGACAACAACGGTTGTGAAACCTCTATTGCCAAGTGTGTCTACCAGATATACGGGGCACGGCAGAAAACCTACCCCAAGTTTCACCTGGGCGAAAAAGTTATAGAACAGGTGCACAAGGCATGCTACCTAGGCATCCGGTTTGAAACTGGGGCAAAATTGATGTGGAGGGGGAACACTACAGAGTCAAGGCAAAAAAAGCGACTGTAATTGCACATGTCATCATGGGGTTAGACCGCTTCGTCGGCCACCTCCCAGCATGGGAAGCCAGAAGTCTCTACATGGCACGAGTGGATCCCTACCTTATATCCGGATGCGATGTTTGCCTGGATGTCGATCTTAAAAGTCTCAAATTGTTGGAACGTGTTCAACTCCGTTTCCTGCGACGAATGCTTGGTGTTGGCTCCCGCAGTCTGAGAGCGGTTCTCTTCTCTGAGATGGGAACATGGGCAATTAAATATCGACGGGTGTATCTTGCGCTCACAAACCTTCGGTATCTTCTGGAGTTGAACCCCAACCGACCTGCGGCGAATGCTCTACACGAATCGCTTACACTTGCGTGGGCTAGCAAAATATCGTGGATCAACGACTTACGGATTGTTCTCTCGCGCTTACATATCCCGGTGCAATTGAACATCGCATTCGGAATGAATGTTCAAACCGTTGAAGTAGCAATGAAACAGGTTATCAAGTCCATGGAGGCTTGGATAGATGATGAGATTGAGTCTTCATCTCGGGTACGAGACCTTCTCGTTGGACGCCTCGAAAAGGATCAAGACACTGGAAAACTGGTCAAGCCTCTAGACTTCCGCCACTACATCAGAATAAAGCAACCCGATCATCGAAAGGCACTTACCAGCCTCATCTTGTCCACCCATAGCCTTGCCGTAGAACGTCGCCACTGGAAAGAGCGGGGAGAGAAAATTTTTCCGAAACAATGGCGGCTATGCAGATTTTGCTATATATATGTGGAGGACCCATCTCACGCTTTATTTGGGTGCCCACATGAAGAGCTCAAAATCCTGCGCCGAGAATTTTTGGATAAGTCCACGCGGAAATACCGGGGACTGTGGATGAGTCCGCGGACCC